TAAACTATTATTAAAATAATATTAAAGGACCTAGCTATCCCTCCGCGCGGTTAGGCTTGTAAGTACCTAAAACTTTTAAGCCTTAAAATATTTATTATAAAGGTAGTAAGTAAAAAAAAAATTGCTAGACTAGTTATAAATACCCTTTAATAATAATTAATTATAGCTTAATAAGAGGACGCTCTTGCAGGCTAATTATAATAATAACTTAAAAATATAATTTTTATTAATTTAAGGCAGGCCTTTTTTATTACTAAATAATATAAAAAAAAAAAACTTTTTTTTTATAAAAATATTATTTATATACCTCCTATGCCCGCGTTGTAACACAAGATTATAAAATAATATTATAATAATTTTTATACGGGCTACTTTAGCTATAAAAAAATTATTAAATTACTTACCCATAAGTTTTAGTAAAAAGAGCTTAATAAAAATACGCGTGCATATATTAAAAAATATTCTTTATATTAAAGGTCCAAGGTTCCAAGGCAGTTGCCTTAGGGGAGTTTAATATTTTTTTTAATATTAAATATATTATAAAAAAATATTTTTATAAACTTTATTATTAGCCTACTTTTATTAAAATATAAAGGGCGCGTTTATAACATAATTTTAATAGTTATAGATTAATTTAATAAAAAAGTAAAATATCTTTTTATTACTAATAAAATTACTGCAGAAAAGTTAGCTAACCTATTTATTAAAAAAATTATATATAATATAGGGTCGCCCTGGAGCATAATAATAAATTAAGGTTTACTTTTTATTTTAAAATATTAAATAGCCTTTTATTAAGCGCTACATATTAAGCAATAACTTAGTATAGTATACTATTCTTAATTAAATAGTTAAATAAAGCGCTAAAACCAAATACTTAAGGTATATTTACGCGTGTATTATAATTATTAGCAAAGTAATTAAGTATTATACTTACTACTAGCACGCTTTGCTTATAATAACTTAAAAAATAACTTAACTAGCTATACTTTACTTATAGTAAGCCGTGGACAGGAACTAGTAATTCCTAGGCTTAAAAATTTAAGGGAATTAATATTTTATTTTTTTATTAAAAAGTGCTTATGCTATTTGGAATGGCTTTATAAGAATTTATAAAATTATATAAATAAGGCGTAGAAAAAGCAGGTGCTTTACCATAATTAAAAATATTATTTAGTAAAATTTAAGGTTAAAAATAATATTTTAATATTTTTAAAAAATATTAAATTAATACATTTAAGTAAAAAACTTAACCTAAAGTATAATAAACCCTTTAAAATTAAATTTATTATTAAAAAGTAGGTATATTAGCTCC